TTTTTTTACTGACTACCTGTTTAAAGTAATGACATTCTTCAATTCACACAAAGCATCGAAAACCGAAAGGAGAAAAAAAAATTGAGAAAAAACAAGGTAATTAGAACTGATTTAAATTATATCTATCGTTATCTTGTTCTTAGAATTCAATAATATCATAATTCGTTGTGTATAATTTTTGAACCAAAATAAAGTATTAACATAATTTCAATCCACATTTCATAGAATGCACATATCATTCAGAATTCATCTAAACTTCAAGACGGACTTTATTTGCAGAGAGAAGTAGTGGAGTAATTTATCTCAATGAGACAGTAAAAGACAAAGGATAATCTTCGAGAGGAAGGTTACCTATAATTTCAGGGGACTCATACTTTTCAATGGGAACAATTTCAGCAGTTATCTCTCTTTGTCTATTTGTTCTTATGTAAACTTAAGGCTAGCTCCATTACCACTAAACTAAGCCTCAAAATGTCTTCTTGACTATTTAAATTTGAATACGACTCGTTAATAGACATAAGCCATTTTCGACGACACATCAACACCAGGGTTTACTCTTCAGATTCGTCACACCTGACTGCTTTATTTTCATGTGTATCGGCGTGGAATGGCGACCCGTGTTCGTGCTGGCTATCTTGCATTGCCTTTGCTTACATTTTATTGCAGTTACATGTATCTGTGTTTGTTTGTGTACTGCACTGACCTGTACAACTATTTTGTACGTTTCTTTGGCATTAGATGAAGTATTACGTTATTATTGTCGCTATCGAGTGCTGTAAAGCATACGTCCATCTACACCGGTGTCGACTGATTACACTGAGCAGTGTCAAAGTCCTGCCCTATTTATAGGGGTCTGCAGGTATAGCGATTCTCCGAGCAAAAATGGCGGTCACATTCCTTTTATGAGTCCTCTTCAGCTATAATCAAGATACCAAATTTGAACTTAATTTGTCAGCAATAAAAAATTACTTAAAAAAAGGAAACTTTTCAAGAGAAAAATAATAGCGTGGAAATTATAGGGCACCCTTAAAGGTCGATCTAATTTGTATCTATCTTTTACATTGATATTTAAAAAGAATGTTTTAAATTAATAGTAAGTAACCTTTTTTGTATTTCAATAAAATCAATTACATTTTGTTATTGGTACATATTCATTTAATAAACGTCCTTTTTATATTTTCTTTGGTCATTTGCTTTGATAACTTTCAAAAGCAGAAAGAGGACTTATCGTTAGAAATATGTTTTTTAAAATGAGAAAATTTGTGAATGTTGAAGCAGAGATTACGACAAACCATAAAGAAAATGTACTTAAATTACCTAGGGAACCTTCATATCTTGATTGTTTTCCTTAGTAGCACAAAAAATTAAAATGAGCTTAGCAGTTTAAAAAATAGGGGAGGAAAATTAGGAGTCATTGATGTATCTTCTTCTGCTATTGGTAAAAATCCCATGATATAAGATGGAAAATTAAGATAGAAGGCCATGATACAATCAAGGAAACTTGAAAGAAAAAAGCAGGAAGTTAATATTTTATATCTTCATTACTTGACCCAATACAATCTTTTCAGAGGTTATGGAGACTTTATCTATACAACTATCTATTTTTTAACTTTTGAACTGGCTTTGATATCCTGATCTGAAATAGATTTCGGAAGTGTGTTTTAAGGAAGAAAACAAAACTCTAATGGTTTTCTAAAAAAACCAAAAAAGGCATAACGTTCAGTTTTAGTATTTTACTCATGTACATATATAGTAAGTATAGAATAAAACCATGTTATTTGATAGACACGTTTATGGCAAAGGTCAAGATTAGGAACAGTGGTCTATCTCAAAAATTTAAAGACAACCTGTGAATAAGGACCCCTGTAAATCCACCATAAATGCACTTCCTGTTGACCTGTCACAAACACGGAATAGTTTGTCGTCAAATTTAATATAAATACAAAACAAAACAATTATAATGAAACAAGTCAGCCAAAAAATGACCAAATAATCACTTATTCTTGCTTTAATATGATATTTGTGCTCATCATATTTAATGTAATGGGGGGTTGTGGTGGTGGTAATTAAATTATCATCAAATCGAAATGTCTTTCTCACATGGTTCTTTATTCAGTTGGGGAACTGAAATTACTGAATCCAGTATTTTGCGTATAAAATGATTACTTTATTTTTCTTTGGAGTATATGAAAATCTTCAGCAAAGCTCCAGAATACTTTTCCCGAGTAAAGTTTGAGATATTTGCCATTTTTGACTTATTACTGCCTCCTTTGACATAAAATTGTATAACTTGTTCTTTCAATAAAAGAACAATCATAACATTGAACATGAGACTGTTATCTATAACAATTTTAAAAAAGCAAATGGACGTACTAATAAAAAAGGCACCGTACTGTGGAATCATTTTAATTCCTGGGGGTCAATGTTCGTGGATGAGCAAAATTGTGTTGGTTCGTGGGCACGTACTTTCGTGGGAATGTAAATCCGTGGATAAAGTATACCCACAAAATCCTCAAACATTGGACCACCAGGTTATATTGATGATTCACAGTATTTTGAGCCGGGAAAAATATTTCACGTCATTTCTAACAAAGAATGATAAATATATATTAAGGTTCCTAATACTTTTTTTAATCTCAAAAAAATGTTCATGATAGTTTTAATAGACCTATGTGGATATAAGAAATATTACAATAATGAATATTAATACCGGTCACTTGATCATTATTCGGTAATTAAAATGGACAGCATTTCTCAATATGACATGATAGTTGAAATACTTCATCATTTTATCTGTCCGGTAGTAGCTGGTTTTTACTACATAAAAAAATGAAAAATGGCTATGGGAATGAATTATCCCTTTTCCCAAACAATGAATTGTTGGTTGAATCTTGTCGTATATAGCCAGTAAAACATCTAACTATGAAACAAATATGGCAGACTTTTACTACCTTGTACTTCAAATTCAAATCGACAAAAGATTGAAATTGACGATTGTAAAATGTTGATGATGCATTTAAATGTCGAGTAGAAGGCCACAACAATTGTTTTCTCCTTATCGTGTAAATCTTTTTGAATTAATTGTTTCACAGGAACCTGAAAACAAAATTTTCATTTGAGCCCCGTGGGGATCCGAGTTAGGATAGGTCCTCAGTACCCCCTTGCTTGTCGGAAAAGGCGACTAAATGGGGCGGTCCTTCGGATGAGACCGTATAAACCCAGGCCCCGTGTCACAGCAGGTGTGACACGATAAAGATCCCTCCCTGCTCAAAGGCCGTAAGTGCCGAGCATAGGCCTAAATTTGCAGCCCTTCAACGACAAAGGTGACGTCTCCATATCAGTGAAATATTCTGGAGAGGGACTTTAAACAGTATACAATCAATCAATCAAAACAATACAGGAAATAAAGGAGTATTCACAAAATGCACTCATGATTTGTATATCATGACGGAACAGGGGGGTCAATCGCTTAAGTTTCTCAAAATTACCTTTTCAAGGGGAGACCTAAAAAGTAGACTATTCACATGAAGCATGATCGACAATCAAATCGACAATTATAAATGGTGACCAATATAATTCATGAGAACATGAATAAAGACTTCCAGGCTCTTCTTCCATATTAGAATCAATACATAAGAACAAATATTTTTTTCTGAAAATTGAGAGAAAGATTCAGAAATAATATTTGTGATTTTTTATGTTTAATCATAACAGTCTTTTTAATCTATACAAACAAAAAGGTTGGCAGATAGATGGTCAGGATAGCAACTATTTATGTAACCATGTATTCAAAATTGCAAACATCTTGACAAACTTGAAATTCGTACAAATTTTCTTTAGTCTTTATAACAGGGTATCTTTATTTCCTGAAAATAAAAGATAGACAGATAATCGTAAAAACATGTTACAGGATAAAACGGACGTTTGATGAGATATGAATCAGTAGCTCACGTCATCTCTTACACAAAGATGTTAACGATTGTGTTCTTTTCTTGCCATTGCAAGTCCATATATTACTATGATAATCTGGTTTTAAACGCAGAAATATATTATGGTTTTTTTTTCTAACTGGTATTGGCAGAGATTTTCATTCCTTAATAGAATATGCAAGATAACGTTCAACTTAATAGAATACGTAAGACAACTTTATAATAGTTGCGAGCGAGCAATGAGAGGTTTTCCATCCAAAAAGACATACTTATATACATGTTAAATTACAATTTATAGATTATCTAAGTTTAATTTTTTAACAAGATTAGTTTTTAACAAGTCAAACAAGACGAAGACTTTTGTATTTATGTTAAAAAATCAAAACATCATTTAAAAAATACTTTTCTTTAAAAAAAATGGATATAGAAGGTTTCACACCGACATCACTTATTTAAAAAGTGGACACCACTCTTACTGCGCAGTGTTCAAGCCTTCAACGAAGACCTTTGCACTCATTGCCGGAAGTTACTAGGTAATATGTGTTTTATATTGCGGGATAATTTTATGTAGTTACTTGCATCTATAAGAATTCTTTTATTAACTTCCTGAAATAATTTTTCAAATATTTTTTTCTTCATCGGTTTCGATTCATTTTTGAAGGAGAGAAATCGGCATGCGAAATAAACAGTTGCCACGAATTACTTGCTATTAAAATGTAAAATTTATTGCTAATGCTTTAATCTCCCAACTTTTACTTATTATTACAATATGCATCTCCTAATATATATAAATATAGCAATAACGGTTTTAGTTTGAGTGTTTAACAGATTGAGAGTAAATCATTTAAAATGCAGTAAGATTGTCTGAAACCTAATTACTCCAATCAATTTTCAATGAAAACTTTAAATTTAAATCAAACTTCAACCAGTAACAATAAGCAAATGTCGTATCAAATATGAAATTGTCAATGTAAGCTGTTTCAATCATGATGTATGTGTGTGTTTTTTTCAGCCAATCAAAAACCTTACAAGAATATCTGTAAGACTCGTTTTGGCGTGACAAGACTATCACAGATTTATACCAAGTTGACGGAGACAGCCGAGCGTATGGATGCATGAGACTACCAATCATAGTTTGAGGCGGAAGACACAAAATATATAAAAGCTTGTTTTTTGTGCGAAACTTCCATAAACCGCTCCAAAGTTGATGTTATACAGGTAAAGTCATGTTTTTATTTTACATTAAAATAACCATCACAATCTTTTTTTCCTTTTAGTACATATTGTATTTATGTACATGTGTAATTCATTTTCAGTAAAGCATTTGTTTTCAATTTTTGTTGTATTATATTAAAAATTAGTAATTCCTATCAGTTTATTTTGTTTCCCTCTCAAATAATCTCTTTTGTTCTCAATTCTATCAATGGATGCTTTGGAATTAATAAGTTATCGTATTTCCATATATTTATTTCCAATTTAAAGAGTTTTATTTCATAATTCTTTCACTACTATGTATTTACAGAGTATCCCAAAATGACCGGTGTCGTTTCCCTCCTCGCCGTCTCTTTGACCATTACTGTTGTCATGAACGGTAAACTATTTTAATTTAATTTTTGTGAAAATCATTGTTCGACCTCATCCATAGAGTGAAATGTCTAAACTGATTAAGCTTTACCAGATTTACAATATAAATGATCAAATTTGTTTTAGGGGATTGTTTTATTTTCCTGCATTCGCTTACATTTTTGAGGAAGAACTGGCCTCAACACCTTAAATCGATAATAGATCTTAGCCGTTTTACTACATGATTCTAAAGTAATTTTGATAATCAAATCTAATTTTTCTAACGTGATTGTATTCAAGATTTACACAAATATTGGAATTTGTAAATCGTGTGAAAACAAAAATATTCAGAACTGATATGTTAACTTTAGTCTATTCTCATTCTTTGTGTGGTTAACAAGTTTTATAATGAAAATCTAGGTTAAAAGTATTGGTATCAAAGAGAAAATGTATTACCTATTGCGTAACAAAATTAGAGTGGAAAGATGGGCGAATATTTAAGGAATGTTTTTAAGTTTTGTGTGAGTTATTGGTGTGTGAATTACACAGACTTGTCAGGTAGGCATATTTCATGAAGCGCTAGCGCGCTTCATGAAAAATATGCCTACGTGCAAGTCTGTGTGATTCTCACAACAATAATTCATACTGAACTTAAAAACATTCCTTATATTTATATTTTACTTGTTTGGAAGCAACTAAAATATACTCAATATTTGAATTTCTCGCTGCCCTATATCGTTGCATTTTTACTAACGTCGCTGCAGCCTCATTGTGACGTCACGTTAACGCACCTTTCTCCGTGTATATTTCTACGCGTGAGTATACACGAAAATAGTTTTCAAATCAATTTCATTTGGCTTAGTAGAAAAACAAAGCGAATGTAAATATTTAAATTTGTTCTTCTTTCTTTCATTCTTTGTTCTTCGTATCAAAATTACAAAATAAAACTTTAATAAAGGAGTTCAAAACACAAAATAATTTGACAGGGGGCCGACACTTACTTCTCAGTTCGGGGAAGTGAAACTATAGACCCTTTTCCTATTACATATTTTGCCTAGGAATTGCTCCCTTTAGCCGCCTTCTGATACTTTAAAGTAGTGAATTTACCTCTTATAGCAACCAATTTTAAACATGCATGCAAGAAATATACGGTGGAAAATATTTAAAATTTTGAATTAATAAAGGCTTTAAGAAACGTATTCTTAAAAAAAATAGTGTTATTTTTACTTTGAGCAGTAACCAGTATAACAAATTTAATTTGGCTGAATGAAGGGATCTTGGAATATTGCCCTACAATATGGCGGCTAAGGGGAATAACTCCTAGGCAATTATGTCATTGAAAAATGGTCTATTGATGTACTGTTTTCTTCTGTAATTTTCAAAAAATATCATTTAACAACCTAAGTTCATTTTTATAATGAAATAGATATATATAAGTTTTTTATTAACTCACCGAGTATAAAGAACACCACTTATTCTCGGAGCATGATATACCTTGATGCTATTGAAAACAAAGTTAACAAATCATCTGACTTCGGCTTAAAACGTCAAGACGAAGTAATTATATCAAGATTACGTAATGGTCATTCAAAAATTACACTTGAATATTCATTGAATCGGGTATCACAGCCAGAATTTATCTCCTGTGACTGTCTGATTACTATAAATCACATACTTTTAGACATGTTCTCAAGCCAAGAGTTTCTGATCCGCTCCGCTCCACTTGACCCTTGACCGAATAGACTAAGTTTGACGGGGTTAGAAATGCGTACTCTGATTGGCCTCATGCAAGTTTGCATGAACCAATCAAAATCAATGTTTTATTTAAACTAAAACTAAATCGTACGCAGTAAAAAAGGCCAGTTTTAGTGAAAAGAATAACGTCTTTATCATTAAATAGCCCAGTTAAAGGTTTGTCTCAGCTATTTTGTTGTGTTATATTTAATTTATTACCAACTTCCAATATTATCTCGAATTTTCTTTTGAATTCGTTTACTCTAATTGGCCAAAAGAAGAGGTTCAGTATAGTTCAAAATGTATTATTACACTAGATGGTTTGATAGTAAATCCCGTCGAACTTAGTTTTTTCGGTCAAGGGTTCATGTGGAGCGGAGCGGATCAGAAACCTGACTCGGGAAGATGAATTTTAGAATGTTCCGATTTTACACATATTTGAAGTAGACTTTTTCGGAAATTTGAAAACAATGTATAAACTTTTTATAAATGTTCATGTTTATAAAATTTTAGAATATCTACAAAAAACGGATTATTATAGTAAAATTTTAATAAAATTATGAAGGTAATTTTAATCAGAAATACATGTACATATATCAATTTATTTTATTAACAGTTTATATAATATATATAAACTATGTAACAGTTAACAATAAAAAAAATAAATGTCTTTCTGACGGGACGTTAAATGGTGCACCGTGTCAAGGATGATAACCCTCTTGGCACGTAAAAGATCTTTTCTCTGGAGTTCGAAAAAGAGTAGGCTCACCGAGGGCCGCCAGAAAAACCAAACACTTTCAAAATCCGTTCATTTAAACTAGTAGTCCGCCGAAATATGGCTGAAAAATAATTGCCAAATCGGAATTAAGCAACATACAATCGTTGCAACTTTTTCCCTTCAGCATGACCTCAATTTTGTACGAAATTTTTTTTGGGAAAAGTGTAAGGAAATAATACCCGGTATTCCTCAACTGCATTTGCTGTGTGTGTTTTACGATACTTAATGATAGGAAATTTACAAATGTGGCATCGTTGTTATATCAACATATTTTCCGACAGGAAACTTCAAAGTAGAGGTCATTTTGCCATTCTCTAATATAAACAAGCAATAAATTTAGATACAGTAAATGCATGGATTTTCTTTTTTTTTTTTTTAATTTTGGGCAACCAAGTTTTGCATTTGGGAAGGTTAGAATTGTAGTACACTTGCCCGAAGGACAAGTAATTATAAAAGTTAATGTCAACCCGGCCTGTTTGATTATCAAATGAGGGTACAAGTTCATTACCAGAAATATTAATTTATACTTGATTATTTTTATTCGGGTTGAAGTGGTTAACAGGTACTAGTTCAAATTAAGGATAAAATGAGTACTCATTAGCTTCATAATGAATTAAAAGGCAAAAAATGAACAAAATTCAATGTTCTTTATTTACACAGTGATAGATGCACAGGTTTGTTCGGGCACCGTGAAGTGTCTCACAGACTACGGCAGAGCTGGAAAATCGCTTTTAGACAAGGAAAAACAATGCAAGTAAGTCAGTGTTTTTCTTCTGGTGATTTATTTAATGTTGGACAGAAAAGCATCACAAGCTAGGGATTATAATCATCGTGTCGGTCATTGATGTTATCGTTGGTGATTTTGTTGTTCCAATACATAATGTTCTTAATGTCACGAAAACATAACTTTGCGGAAATCTTCAGCGGTGGAGGTAGGAAACGTGTGTTTGAGGGAGCAAGACTGGACATTGTGAAATTTATATGGACAGACAAGAAAGAAATCTTGGTGAATTGTCATGTTTTACATTCGCTGAACCAGCCTTATAAATCTTTGATAAGCTAATGTTAAAAGTTACCTCAAATGTTACATTTTACGATTCTTTCACTGAGGTTTCCTTTGAAAATCATTACTTTTGAAAGCTGATAAAATACTCTAATTTTTCCGAAATTATTTGACGGTATAGTATTTGGAGTTCAACTGTACTTTCGGCATAAGTATTGCTCGAATCATTCGATGGACACTACTGTTAACTATGTAAATGCCTCGGAAATCTTTCGAGACCCAGAGCTTCCTCCACTCTCACGTAAAACAGAGATAGTAACTTAAGTAAGTTAGATATATGCAAGATACTCGCGATACTACGTATTTGGTGACCATTATATTCTATAAGACATGATACATGTCTTTCTCTCTTCAAAAATTAAATTTAAAGCATTCATTTTTTTTTTACAGTTCATCATTTCATTTAGTTGACCAATTCTCTCCTTTTTTATGTTCGTGCTGTATTGATATTGCAGAGCTGCTAGAGATTATCTGACATGTCTGGAAACTGCTGCAGAAGGTTGTGGTGGTGACACCGATTCAATAGTAAAGCCCGCCAAAGATGCACTGTCAGCGGGAGGATGCTGTGAGTATTGCTTCTGATTTCATTTCCCGGCAGGGGATGCTCACTTTTAGATGACACCTGATCGCACCTCTGATGTTTTGGAGGGCCGTGTGTTCTCTGCTCCTATGTTGTATTGTTTAATGATTTTTTTAGCTTCTATACTGTTTTTTATCTCCATATATTTCATCACCACTTACCAGTAAGTGAAGATAAGTTCAACCATGATAATTCTCGTTTAAACATTTTTTAATACACATTTTATACATAGTATAACGGAGGATTACGTACCGTTAGAAAAATCTTACTGTGCTTTGTTATTTATTATATCCCTAACATGTATCATTCAGTTTTACTGTAGAATTAACGCAATCACGTGACGTCGTGATCCGACTTTCCGGATCACCACACTGTGGTTTTCTGAATCCATATCACCACTCTCTGAAACTGATGACGTAGTACGCAAAAACATGACGTTAATTTTCTTGTGCGTTAAAAAGTCCATTGTTATTATGCTTTGTTTTATGGATAAATATTATACAAAGGATCTCTTAAGGTCAAGATCTAGTAAATGAAAGGTGCCTACAGATTTATCAAATTTGAGAAATAATTTCCTTTAATGATTCTTTATAACATTAGCTTGGTCAAATAAGGTGTTTCGGGGCATATTTTGTAGGTAAACAAGATGAAAAACTGTATTTTAAACTGTCATTTTCGATGAAAAATTAAGAAAACCAAACATGAATATGGGAGTTTTTTTCATATTCGACAAAGGAAATGTATCCAGATTGCCTACAGTCTCACAGAAAACGGTAATAAGTATGTCCATGGCCTCTTCTTTGAACCAATATCAAATTTAATATAGGTATCCGGTTTACTTTTCATATGATTTCAAATTGAATGTCATGAAAATATCCTATTTTCTACATAATTCTGCTAAAGCCGTAAATTACGGGAAAAAGAAAGTTGAAATTGATTATGACGTCATAATGGATCTAGCACCAAAAAATTAGTCTAAAGTTATTTACTAGATCTTGACCTTAAGTTTTATTTTGCTATATTTAGCTAGTTATAAGGGGGTATATAATAAATTTATCATTATAACAGTAACTTGATACGAAGAGCCGTATCACGTCTTGTTGACAGGCGCGGATCATCAGATCAAACTCGACGCTTCGCGTCTCGTTAGATCTGATGATCCGCGCCTGTCAACTCGACGTGATACGACCCTTCGGATCAAGTTACTGTTATAATAATATATATTTATTAATAGGAACTTGTGTCAGTAAAATGTTTCCTTTTTTTATTTTTAGCCGGATCCGGTGCACCTGTCCTGAGTTTTCTAACCATTGTTTTGGGAGTCGTCCTTTCCCGATATTTTTAATATAATTTATGATAATAAAAAAGAAAACAAAGCTAAAATAGAAAGAACTCACGTCCCCTCAAAACTTTATTTCATTAAGCAAATAAGAATACATGTACTAATTTTCTTTCACAAACTGCAAGTCAAAAAGTAAAGATTCCTCAATATTTGACCGTATACTATTTCCATTTATAAACGACAGCTTTATTTTGGACCTTCTATAATACTAGAGGAAGACACATGAAAGACTTCTTTCAATTTTTTTTTCTTCGATCATTAAAGATTTTTCAAACATCTGCTTTTGGGTTGGTTTTTTTTAACTACAAATACAAGTTGTTTAAATACTTATCCACTGAACCATCCAAGTCTACAGAAGATGGATCAATTGAATGATTGTAGTAAATTAAATCTAACGTCCCTTTCTAAAAAATTTTTAATCATATCGAGACGCCCTTGGAGGGCTACAAAACTTTACTCGGCATTAAGTCATTTCGTGCCAACACCTACAGCGACACGGGATCTGGTTCCGCATTGGGTTTCGAACTCGAGACGTACATGTAATGATCAACTCCTAACTCTGCGACTATACAGCAGACGCTCTAACCACTGCGCCAGGTAGGTGACCGAATTCAAAATAGGTCACAGGTTAATGTGTTAGTTCATTAACGCCGGTAGCTTGTATACAAATTGAATCCATAAATAACTTTGTTAAATCGTAATTACTTGTATCATTCGACACCTGCCAGTTTGTAAAGAAGATAAAATGTTCCAATCCGCGAAGTCGCCCGCGTGGCGCAGTAGTTATAGAACGTCTGCTCTAGAGCTGCGAAGTAAGGAGTCAATCCTTATACGTCGCGGGTTCGAATCCTACTGTGGGACGTGGAAAACGGTCCTTCGAATGAGATCGTATAAACTGAGGTCCCGTGTCACAATAGGTGTCCACACGAAAAAGATCCCTGACTGCTGCTCAATGACCCTCAGTGCCGAGTAAAGGACAAATTCGTAGCTCTCCACCGGCAAGTGGTGACGTCTCTATAATGTTGAAAAATTCTTAAGAGGAATGGTAAATAATATACAATCAATCCAATCCGTATACGACTTTCTTGATCCATTTAGTAGGCGCAGAGCCAGGGGCATGTTTGATGTGGACATCAACTACTATTACTGTAATGTAAAATGTTGCTACGAAGGAGGGTGTGGTTTCATTATTTAGCTGGTATTAGTGTTTTTTTCAACAAATGTTTCTCCACAAATCAGATTTAACTTGTATACATTAAAGTTTAATATAAAGGAATGCAAATTACATGACTTCCACGGCACAAGTATTCTCCTCTTGAACACTACATTACAGGAAATGCGTGATAACAAAGTGGCGGTAAGATCTCGCAAATTAATTACAATAGAGAGGCTCGACCAGAGACGTCCGAAACGACTTAATTGACAAGTAAAACGTCTATTGGAGCGAACGAAGTCATTTTAAACTAGGTTAATGATTGATATATTAACAAAATTCGGGCTCGAATTTGGGATGCATGTAAATAAGTTAGGTACATTGTGGTAAAAAAAAGAAGCTATATATATAGAAGGTCATGAACGAAACAAGCACTTGTGTCATATACACTGTGATAATAAATTAAACATTTGTAGAGAGCCCAATATAAAGAATTACCCTCAGGCACTAAACAATAATATTAAACAAAATTAAATGCATGTACAATGTAGTTTTTAAAGGTACTTTGACAAATTTGAAGTTAATATTTTCTGTATAATATCACGAATTATTACCGTCTTCCTTGGAAGACGGTATTGTATAGTTGAAGTTTTTTACAGTCTTCGGACTATGCACTTCCTCTCTTTTGTGATTGGTAGAAATTGCATGATGAGAAAATTTTCAATTATTTCATTGGTTGAAATGCTGTTCAAGGCAAGGGAGATAACTTTCTGATGATCTAATTTTCGTACGACTTAACAATTTTGCAAGATTTTCAATCTTAAAAAAATGACAAAACGAACAGCAAAATCAGCAGTTGTTAATTCTTAATAACATGGTATTTTTTATAGCAATAAATAAAAAGGTCTCATTAATTTCATTAGAAATAAAATTTGATTTTTATAGCTTGCAGGCTTTACAATTTGTAATTATTATTTTCCCCTTTCTTGTTTGAAGAAGGGATTGGAATCAGCCGAGGTTTGCCGAAAGTTCTCGGCCAGTCAAAGTTTACGGAGATGACCGAGCGACCACCGTGGTAGAGCTAATGCCAGTAAAAGGCTAATGTAGAAATACAAAATTCAAAAGAATTATACGGCTTGATAAGTGTAGATCAGTTTCCTGTTTAAGATTGTTGCTAAAGACGGGAAGCTTTTTTAAAAAGCTCTACTTGTATATTTTAATAGCATTTAACACAATAATATATTAAAAATTTTATTTTAATGTCTTAGAATTATTAAAACTTCAAATTTTTGGATGGCTGTGACTGACACATCCTTGCACTCTCAAAAATTTTACTTTTATTCTTAATACTTAGGAAAAGTGGCAAAAGTTTTAATAACTTTTAGATGGAATACGATTTTTAATATATATTTGTGTGAAATGCTATTAAAATATACAAGTCGTAATATTATACAGAAAACATTAACTTCAAATCTGTGTCCATGTGCCTTTAAAGCTAAGAGATAAATAGAAAGATGAATAACACCCCAGAAACATAAAAGAAAATTCAAAGTTATGTATAAATAAAAGAATCAAATATTTGTATTAAAAAATACTCAAGTATACGACAGTGAATAAGAAAAAAGAATCAAACGAGAAATGTAGTATCGAAATTTTTATATTTCGCTTATTTGCAGAATTTATAAGTTTACGTGTATGCCTAAAGTATTCTTACAACCCATTGTATACTAGTTTGATATGATTGCTTTACTTTACAAATACGTAAGAATCACTGATCTTCTTTGTGTATAGTGATTGATTATATGCTGTTTAACGTCCCTCTCCAGAATATTTCACTGATATGGAGACGTCACCATTGCCGGTGAAGGGCTGCAAATTTAGGCCTATACTCGGCACTTACGGCCTTTGAGCAGGGAGGGATCTTTATCGTACCACACCTGCTGTGACGCGGGGCCTCGGTTTATACGGTTTCATCCGAAGGACCACATCATTTAGTCGCCTTTTACGACAGGCAAGGGGTACTGAGGACTTATACGAACCCGGATCCCCACGGGGCTTGTGTATAGTGATGATTACTAATGATTACAAGTATTCCCGTTTGTCAGGCCATCCACTTTTATGCTGGCAAATTTATTATCAATAAATAATAATGGTTTGAAACAAACATTGAAAAAATGGTTCTATTCAAAACCTTTTAGTTAAAGATATAAATTGATAACCATTTGTTTAAAAAATCATTTTCTTAAATGTGCTCGTTCTTGAACAGGCGTCTTTGTTGGAACAAACAAGTGTCGCATTGTTTCAAGTATTATTTCACATAAATATATGTGAAATACGGTGATGAGTTAAAATACAAACACTTGAAAACAGGAGCCAATCAAACGGAAAGCGGAAGATATGAATATTTATATAAAGCATGAAGAAAATTTTCCTTTATTGTAAGAATAATTGATAACTCAGAAGTCGGTGCTGTAAAGGTATGATCTCATTTTGTTTACTTTAAATACATACAATATGATATTTGAAAAATGAATGCTGTATTTTAAATAAAACAACCTCATTAATTTTAAAAATGATTCAGTACTTGTGGTGTATTTCTCTGTGTAATTTTCTTTAATTAATAAAAATTGGTATTAAATTGCAACATATATTTCTGTTAAAAGAACGATCGGCATAGGATCATTACGTAAAAATTCTGAAATGTTTGGGAATTATTTTAAGATTAAAAAAAAAATTAACTGATTAAAACTAATATTTTCTCTAAACATCTTGTAACTTTTTTTAAAACCGTTTTTATACTAAATATAGATTTAAAGATTGGGTTTATGATAATGCTTTTCGTAACGTACCAAATTACAGTTGTAGCTGTCTTTAAAAATATTGCCAGAAGAGAGATGTTTCGCGAAGAAAGCGATTTTCGTATTCGAGAGACATGAAATCAAATAAGCTAAATAGAAAAAATAAAAATAATAAAATTAAAAAATACATATGCATATAAAAAAAATGAATATAAATTCATTTGTGTTCCACTTATTTTTGCGGTATTCGTTGGCTCTCGATGGAATGTATGAAACTTGTGTTTCCTTTCTTGTTCCATTTTGTTATTTCTAAAGTTTTTTTTAATAAATGTCTTTAATTATATATAATTATATTTAAAGATGTCTGTCCCGGCTATAGCTTCCATCCTAGGAGCTTTGTTGTTTGTTAGTCTGGTCATGGAAGGTAAGATCATACATTTACCAGGTATTTAAATTTTAAATGTTTGTTTTTCAGGAGCGGTTGAATGTGAATTTATTGGTGCATCACCTTAAGGTTTCCGATCCAATCTGAATGCATAACAGATACATTGATTATATTGACCGAATACTCAGTAAATTAAACAAAAGAAACATTGACGCAAGCGTCAAAAATCGGTCGCAAACTAATTTATTGTTCCTTCCATGAAGCAATTAGAAATTGAAATGTGTGATCTGTTATCAAAATATCTTATATTTCAGCCACGTAGCATCGTTTTTGAAAAGGGGGGCAGCCACAGAAAAAAAATACTTACCTGAAAAAGTTGACAAGCAAAAAAAAAATAAGAAGGAAAAGGAAAAGTTTCCCAGAGTCGAAAATTTCGATATAATTAAAGCTATATCGTGGGGATGGGGGTAATACCAACTTCTTTCAGTATCAATTTTTTGTAATACGTTTTCCTTACAATGTATATCACAAAAAGTTGGGGGACCAGCCAGCCTTTTGATGAACATTTCCTATAGTATGTGATGTTTGGGAAAAAAAGTCGGGGGAATGCCCCCCTCCCCCTGTTGATAGGTGCCTGTATTTATCTGTTATTAATAAATATATCCCCGGGACACTATAAACACGTACATGCGACATAGCAGGATTTTCGTTATACATCTTACTTTACATTATTACATGTATAGGCAAATTACCCATAGTCCTCTGCGTCTCCGCACTCTTTTTGGTACAAACGAACTCTGGCGGATGTTTAAAACGATTTTACATTAAAAGTTTAAGACGAAAATTAAATTTAACTATCACTAGAGTTATTTTTACTTTAATTAAAACGCAACAAATATTCGGAGTTCCTCGCTCTCTCTCTTAAAGGATGTTTAACACGTA